CTCCCTCTCTCCCTCCCTCCCTCCCTCCCTCCCTTCCTTCCTTCCTTTCCTCATCCCTTCCTTTCCTCATCCCTTCCTTCCTCCATCCCTTCCTTCCTCCATCCCTTCCTTTCCTTTTTCATAAAGTAGTATAGAAATGATACAGTCTTGGGTTTCCCTGGTAAGCTCTGGGCAAGAATATTTTCCTTCCATTTTAAAACTTTAGAAAGAAAAGCATGCTTTATAAAAGTTTTGGTGTCTAAAATATTAATGAAGTATTTTCCCATGTATTTATAAGATTTCTATCCAGATTCACACAGCATGAATTCTAGCCAAGCATTGCTTATGAGGTTCATTTCAAAGCACATAAAATTTGACTCTTTCACAGAATAAATAATTTAAGATTGTTTGAATATTTCAGGTCAGTGACCATATACTGTTAAATACCTGAGGATGTTGGCTGATACAACCTTAGTTCCACAATGTATATAATTCTACATGGAACTAGACACTGGCTGAAGGAAATTGATTTTGTTTGGAAAAGAGTCTACCTTCAAAATACTTATCAACCAAAAATATATGGGAAATCTCAAAAGCATGGTTAGTCCTTACAGCAGTTTGATAATTACTTTTTTGTAGGAATCCTTCTAATTTAAGATTGCCCAATGGTTGAGATCTTATTAAAATCAGTGTGGCTGTTGATTTAAAGAAAATTCTCATTGTATCTAGTTTGAAAGTTAGATTACTTGTTCAGATAGGGCAAAAAGGAAAACAATAACAGAAGTAGCCAAAGAAAGAAAGAAAAAACAAATTACACACAGCGCATTAATGCAGTTAATGAAAAGAACCATGACTTTTCTCTGTAAAGGACCTAAACGAATGTGGCTGTTCACATTACTGGTTTCTTTGTTGGTAATGTGAATATTGGTAGTCTCCAATAATTATATGTTAGTAAGGGCTCAAAGCCTTCTTCCTCATCCCCTCTGTATCAGGTAGTATATAGATCCAAACCAAATTTTGCCACAAAAATATATCCTTTTTGACAATCAAACATTAACACTTTTCTTCTTTAGTGACCTTACATTACTTGTATTGTTTTTATTTTTAATTTAAAAAAAATTTAAATTTAAAATTTTTATTTTTATTTTTTATTGTGAAAATACTGCACAGAGGGGTTACAATTACATGGGCAAGGTAATGAGTACATTTCTTATCAAGCATTGTTGCCTCCTCCTTTGTTTTCCCCTTCCCATCTTCCCTGGCTCCCCCCACTCCCCACATTTGTATTGTTTTTAAAAATATGCTATCAAGACGTAGGCATGATACCATACACCAAGAAGATTCCAGCACTTGGAAGGTGGAGGCAGGAGAATCTACAATTTCCAAGGCCAGGTTTGGCTGGAGATCTGTCTCTAAATACATACATACATACATACATACATACATACATACATACATACTTACATAAAGTCATTTTGTTAAGTGCTACTGGCAGAAGCAACACTTGAATTGGCTGATAAAGGAAGTTGAATTAGCTACATTTGTAACATGTCAGTTACTATTTCTGAATATAAGCTGGAAGTGTATATACTTTTTAAAAAAGTTATATTGAATCTAAATTTTTCAAGTCTATTTGAAACGTATGGCTTAAAAATTTAGTTTTACAATGTTCATCAAGAAATGTACACATTACCTCACTCGTAACTGTAACCCCTCTGTACAGCATCTATATGATAAAATAAAGTTAAAAACATCTAGTTTTAGATATTTACAAGGACTTAAGGTGAGTGCAAATTCTTTGAACCTTATTAGGAAATAACTTTAGCTACTTACTCTGTTTTGTACAAACAACATTGGCCACCATGGTACCGTGTTGATAATTATAGAGTAAATAACATTTGTTGCACATATAAGATTGTTAAGTGAAAGCTTTTAGTGTTTATCAAGATTATCTCATCATAGAACAAGAGGACAATTTAAAATATCTTGACATGTTTTTTCTAGTTAATTGCATAGCTTTTCCTGAAAGTACCATCACGTACTCTGCCGTAATAAAAGACTATACTTGTTTCTATTCCTGGAGATGTAAAACAAAAACAAAACACTGCAACTGTTACTTTCCTTCCATGTTTTTGGCTTTGGTGTTGGAGCAGCGGCCCTTTTGCATCGGTATATTTAACAGCACTGGCATGAATGGAAGACAAGTAGCCTAGTGAATTCTCATCTTGTGTTGCTCTGTTAGTTTTTAAAAATTTCCTTATGCATTATGTGGTTACTGGTTATATTTCAATCTTTTACAGGAATTTTAAACAGCTGTCAAGTGACATGGAATTTATGACCATTAATGGAACAACTTTAAGGAATCTGGAAATCCTACAGAATCAGGTCAGGTCAACATGAGGGCTAGTTGATTCCAAATGGTTTTGAAATAAAAATTATAAAGTATGAGGCTGTTCTTCAGAATGCAGGTAAAAATAACAACAATGCCTTTTCTTTTTAAGGATGTTATCAAGCTATCCTTTTTAATAACCTAAGGATATTTCATCCTGATAGTGTCTGTCACAATTTCTATATTACATATTTATTTAGGAAGATAACTTTGAAAATTAATATGAGTGAATTTTCTTTGTCAGGTTGATTAGATCTTTTTCTTATATACCTTTAACTTGTTGATAGGTCTGCAATTTCATTACGCAGAATGTAAAACAAGTTACTGTGGTATGCAATTTGACTAGTAAATGTGTCTCTTACTTCAATTTTCATTGTTTATTTTTCCTTCATTGATGAATTAGGTAAATGATAGGATTTGTTTATTAAATTAACACTTGGAAGCAAGCACTGGTGGCTCATGCGTATAATCCTAGCTATTCAGTCAGGTAAGATCTGAGGATCAAATTTCTACACTATCCTGTGCAAATAAATCCTTGAGACTCTTATCTCTAATTAACCACAAAAAAATGACTGAACGAGAAGCATGGCTCAAGTGTAGAACACTAGCCATTCACAACAAGGTTGAGTGAGAGCTCAGGCCCTGAGTTCAAGTCCCAGTCATGTCACCTATCCCCACAAAATGATTACTTGGGAAAGTATGAGGTATTAGGTTGTAAAATTAATGTTATAACAAAGTCATCAAGAAATAAAACTTAATTTCAGATAAAATGCTAATTCCAAATCATTTGGTTAAGTAGTCAAAAATGTGAACCATTTGAATGAAGTGATTGAAAGCTCTTCAGAAATACTTTATCACTGCTGCCAAGTAGAAACTGAATTTGTTTTCCTGATTCTTGGATGAGAGTGAAGTAGTGTACTTCAGCCAGACTTACAGTGCTCATTAACATTTTCATCCTGTCGCTCCATGATGGAGAGGCTGCAGATCTGTTTCACACATTTCCGTCAGCTCTGCACATGGAACTGTGATAAGAAATGGAGCAGGAATGAGGACTTTTCTGGATGGGTTGCTGAAAAAGAGCTCCCACCAAGCTTATAGACATAGCCCTGGCATTCCAATCTTTGCTTGCTCCTGCCACCCCTTCCCTATCCAGTCCTACCAGAGTCAGTTCTGAAAACCAGTTCCTAAGGCAGAAGAAACCTTAGGTCAAAATCTGCTTTTCAGTTCCTTCTGCTGTCCAGGAGTGGAACCTTGTAGAGACAGAAGCTGAGAATTGACATCCTCTCTTTGTTTAACCTTGGTCTCTCTTTCCATGGAAGCTTCTGAATAATTTAATCAATTGCCAAAATACATAGACAGTCCCTTTTCTTTGTAAAAATATCAACATTTATCTTGTGTGAATGAGCCCCTCATTATTAGACATGTGTAACACTTAAAATTTGTTAAGTGGAATAGTTAGGGTCCATGAATACCTAATAGTTGACATTTTTGTTTTTTAAAATTTTTCTTAGACTGATCTGAAGACCAAAGGAAGTTTACTTTGGGTTTTAGACCACACTAAGACGTCATTTGGGAAGCGAAGGTTAAAGAAGTGGGTAACCCAGCCACTTCTTAAATTAAGGTAAAGTGTATTCTTTTTTCTTTCTTTTTTTTTGGGGTCCAGTCATGGGGCTTGAACTCTGGGCCTGGGCACTATCCCTCAGCTCTTCAGCTCAAGGCTAGTGCTCCACCACTTCAGCCACAGCGCCACTTCCGGCTTTTTTCTTTTTGCTTATGTGGGGCTGAGGAATCAAACCCAGGGCCTCATGCATGTAAGGCAAGCACTCTAGCACTGAGCTACCTTTCCAGCCCTAAAGGTATTCTTTTTAACCATGTTTCATCTGAAATTATAAAGTTGTAAAATTAAACATGATAAGGTTTTTATGGCTTAGAAAAGCAGTTTTAAGTTGGGGAAAAGTTTTGTATTTTGTAACTGCCAATAGACTGGTGTTCAGATGCTATCCCCGCATCCATCCTCCACCTCTGTGTCCCAGGAGCAAGCCTGTTTGTAGACTGGAAGGAATGGGCTCTGTGAGAGAGTAAGTGGTCCAATTAGTTGTGAGGAATTTGACGGCAAGGCTCAGAAATTGGTCGCTGGATGGAGGTAATTTGGTGATTTTGAAGGTGGAGGTGATATGATCACAGCTGGCCTTGGAGAAGGAGGCTACATGGTGGTAGTGATGGTAGTGAAGTTGGCAAGTTCATGGAGAGTCCCTAAGGATCAGCACTCAACCAACCATAGCTTGATGGCTGAAATCCTGAAACAGTGTGACATCACAAAAGCAGAGTTTGTATACTGGGAGCGCCTTCCATGCAGACAGTTGAGTCTTGCCCCTAAAACAGGGGTGTCCAAGCTGGGCACTGGTGGCCCATGCCGGTAATCTCACTACTTGGGAGGCTGGGAACTGAGGATCGTGGTTCAAAGCCAGATGACGCAGGAAAGTCCACAAGACTCTTACTCCAATAAACTACTCAAAAAAAGCTAGAAGTGGTGCTATGACTCAAGTAGTAGAGAATTAGCCTTGAGCAAAAGAAGCTCAGGGACAAGTGCCCAGGCCCAGAGTTCAAGCCCCAGGATTGGTAAAAACAAAACAAAACAAAAAACAGGTGTCCAGGAGTGTTTGCACATTAGAACTGTCTGGGAGCTTCACCTGGATGCTTGTGTCTAACCATAAGAATTGTGATTGAATTCATCTCTGTTATACATGGGGTGTTAGGACTTTTTTAAAAGCTCTCCAGATGACTGATCATGACTTAGATAAATGTAGGAACACTAACTTAGAACAATATCTGGCACACTATCTGGCACTAGCAGGAGCCCAGTTAATGTGTACTGAATAGACAGTGTTATTTATGGAGTTCATACTATAGATGAGTATTTAGTACTTAGAATCCTGATAGTAAAGAAGAAGGTCCTGAGAGCTTCAGTACTTGTACAGTGTCTCACAGGTGTCTCACAGCTCTAAAACTAGGATGGAGTTCAGAATCTGAGTGGGCACTTACCATTGTCCTGGCTCAGCCAGAAAGTGGTGACCCTCCACTCTGTTAGCTAGACAGGCCAGTTCCAACACCCTCAGCCTCAAAATGGTAAAATTCCTCCCCACAGGTTGGGTAAAGAATAAAATGAGACAGTAATCCTAATGACTATGTTTGAGTTCTTTATTTCATACCAGGCACTTTGCTAGGGGCTTTGTATGATTGTCTCTTTTAAACCTCACTAAGTAGATCCTATTATTAGCTCCATTTCACTCAGGGATTAGTAAGTTGCTACTGTCTTCAGAAAGGAAAAGCAGATGCTACTGTTAATGTGGACTTTGCTCTAAAACACTACTGATGATGAAGATTTCCAAGGTGCTACAATTTAGTAGAGCACTCTGATTTTCTTTCTTGATCATGCTGACCCTAAGACATGGGAAATTAAGAGGTAAAGAAGAAATCCTGGGGCAGGGGGCTTAGCCCAGCAGAAGGGCGCCTGCCCAGCCCACGCAAGGCCCTGGGTTCGGTCCTCAGCCCTGGAAAAATTAAAAAAAAAAGAAAGAAGAAATCCTGAAAATGAAAGTATCTTTTAGTTTAGTATTCATATGAAATTAGGAGACCTCCTGGAACAAAGCCAGGCAAGATGGCTTTCTGTACTCACTCTGTGGACAACAATGTAGGGATGTCTAGTTGAGATAGTTATCTGCAAATCTGTCCTAGGAACCTCTCATTACCTCTGCACACATGCCCAGGAAACAGGAGTGCAAAGATGTTCTGGCTAATGAAAAGACATCTGCCACACCACAGTGTGCACCATGTTATGTTCTTGGTTGAAACAGACTCACTAACAGATGCTTGTATGTGAATTAAGGCTCCTTTTTAAAGTGTGTATAACCAGGAGTACTTGGAGACAAAATCAGTAGACCATGTTGTCTGCTCTTTGGTGCTGAATCCTGGTCCCTTGGGACCCAGCTGAACTCTAGCATTCTCTAGCAGAGCTCTTTTCTAGACCAATACACTAGCCCCAAACACAAAGCCATTTGCTTTCTCTTTACATTTTACCTCATGATTTAAAAAACTTTTATTCTCCTAATCCATTACAATGCATTTCAAAAGAATTCTACTTAAATTTTTGAACTCGGCCTGGGTTCTGTCCCTGAGCTCTTCAGCTCAAGGCTAGTGCTCTACCACTTGAGCCACAGTGTCACTTCTGGTGGTTTGTTGGAGATGAGAACCTCAGGACTTTCCTGCCTGGGCTGGTTGTAACCTTAACAATCCTCAGATCTCAGCATCCTTAGTAGCTAGTATTACAGGCGTGAGCCACCAGCGCTTGGCTTCTAATGATACTTGCAATCTATTAAAAAAAATCTTTAGCAGAGTAATCAGTGCTCTGCTCCGTATTTCTTACTGTTCCTTTTGCCTTTCTGAAGTGCTAACGGAAGTGCCGTGTACATCACACCAGGCTAATGTTCTGTCTCTGACATTGACAGCCAGATACTACTTTAGAGTTTGGTTTTCATCTTTAGTGAGATCATAGGAGCTGACAAGAGAATTTAGCAAGATAAAGCATATATCCCCAAGTTCTACCAGTCTTTGCAAGTCATCTGTGGATTCTCTTAGGTCCCTTAAGAGTCTCTTAATTTTAAAGCACTTTGTTTTAGTGTTTGCTTGCATGCTAATCAATTAATTAATTAATTATTTCTCTTCTCTTTCTTCCCTTCCCTCCTCATCAAGGCTTTAACACTAAGGCCTGTTGCTTTCACTTGGCTTGCTTGCCCAGCTAGGACTCTACCACTTGAGCCATACCTCTAGACCAACATTTTACAGGTTATTTTGGAGTTTAGAACTTTTCTGCCCAGGCTGATCTCAAACTGTAAGCCTCCAGATCTCAGCCTTCTGAGTAGCTAGGATTACAAATATGAGCCTTTAGCATCTGGCTGAGTTTAGTTTTAGTTTTTATTTGATTTCTTTTCATGAGACTGTCACTCAAATTCAGGGTGTTGTGCATGCTAGGCAAAAGCTCTATACTGAGCTACATCCCCAGCCCTTTTTCTTTGTACTTTTAGCCTCCTTTAGATCTCAAAAACCACAGTCATAAATCTAGGAGAAATTTCTAACCTCATTAAATTTGATTCTATCAAATGACCTTTTTTTGATGTAGAATGTTTTTTTTTCCTTATTCTTACTGACCAGTTATTATGTTTACTGAGTTCACTTAAGTTTTTGAGACTGGAGTTATGTTGCTGCTACTACATTGGCTTTTATAAATAGAGTGTTTTGGTTCTTGTATGTTGTGATCTCTCTCTCCCTTTCTCTCTCTCTCTTTCTACATATATACATATATATATGCATATATATATTCATCAGTTTTTCCATTTTTGTTTTGTGCTGGGACAGAGACTTGAACTCAAGGCCTGGGTGCTATTTCTGAACTTTTTTTTTCTCAAAACTGGTCCTCTACCACTTGAGCCATAGCTCTACTTCTAGCTTTGTTGATGTTTAATTAGAAATAGAGTCTCATGGACTACCCTGCTTGGATTAGCTTTGAATCATAATTTTTAAATCTCAGGCTCCTAAGGATATAGGTTACAGGCATGAGCCACCAGTGCCCAGCTCAGTTTTTATATTTTTAAACAATATTTTTTCAGTGTACTTTGCTAGCTTCTTGTAGATGAAGTAATTAGTAACTAATTAGTTTTAAAACGTTTTTAAAACCTTTTAAAAAGTAAATTACATTGGATTCATTTTTTAGATTTCTCTAGTTTTTTTGTATTGACATGGCTCCATCAATCATATGTGTTCCTGTGTGAGTATATGTATAGTAAGTTTATATATACATTCCCTAAAAAGCTGGGATGAGTTTATATCACAGATATGTCTGTTGAGTCTTTTAAGTGATATTTTGGGCAAAATAACTTCTGAGGCAGATTTGGTTGTCTCATTTATTTAAAGGCTAAGGAAGGGTGAAGCTCAGTGGTAGAACTCTTGCCTAGCATGCTGAAGACCCTAGGTTACATTCCTAGCACCAGGAAAAAAAAAGAAAAAAAAGGAAAGAAGGAAGGAAGGATGGAAGGAAGATAAGGAAGGAAGGACAAGAAAAGTATTCAAGATTTTGTAGCATACGGTCCATTAAAAACAATATTAACCAGAAGGAAATAGTGAGTTTCCTTTGTGGATGCTTCTTTTTCTACAAACTTTGCATTTTTCTAGGATTCCTTTCAGTGACCTCATTTCACTTTTAATAATAGCAGGGTCTAATCTGTCTTCCTTCCTTCTCTTATAACTCACATGCTAATCGTCATTATCCTTAGCACTCTGGGCACCGTACATCTGCCAGGATATCCCATCTTATTCCATCTCTTCTCACTGCGTTTATACTTGATGATCTCGTAGAATGTTCTTTTCTCTTCCATTTTTTTTTTTTGATTTGTGAGTTTTCTTGATGGAATTAGGATTTGAATCAGGACCTTGTGTTTGCTAAGAAGGTAATCTACCACTTGAGTTCCACCACAAGCTCTTTTGTATAATTATTTTTGAGATAGGATCTTAAAAACAATCAGAATGTGATATATGATTCTATTTGTGATGTTTTATTTTAAAATAATT